TCCCCCCCCCCCCCACCGCACAGTGGTAGTTGCCATAGCAACGGGTGCCTGGCTCCCAGGAGGAGCATGTGGAGGGTGAACAATGCTCTCCCCCCATTTCTCCACCTCCCCCCATGACCTGGGTAGTCACTAGCTTTTCCCAAGCTTCGTTCACTTTTTTTTTTTTTTTTTTTGATGAGTGTTCCAGCCTCCAAGCGCAGAACATCAGGGAATGTCCAGGGCTCAGGCCTTCTGCCCTCCCGCTGCTCTGGGCTGGCCCATCTTCCCAGCCGGATAGCTGGCTGGCATGAGCAGGGCTTGGAGGAGGCCCCGCTGCAGTCCTGGTTGCCTGCTGGGCCCTGTGGGAGGCTGTTGGCAGGGATGGAGAGAGGAAGTGAGCAGGGCATCTGAGTCACCTGCAGGGCAGTGTCCCCTGTGGGGTGGCAGACTGGAGCACGGAAATACTCTGAAAGGGAGGGCAGATGGCCTGGGGAAGGGTCCCGGGGGTCCTGGCCAAGCCCCTGGCTCCGACTTGGCCTGATTCTCACCAGGAGGGCGCTCACTGCAGTCCTGTCCCTCACTGTCCTTCACTGTCCCCTGCCCAGTTGTCATCACTCCTTTTGTAGCCCTGTAGCACTGTCCTCCCGTTGTTCATCGATTTGCTCGAGTGGGCCCAGTAACGTCTCCATTGGAGACTTTGTTGTGACTGTGTTTGGCATATCGAATACGTCACGGGGAGCTTGCCAGGCTTTGCTGTGCGGGCGAGATACTCTTGGTAGCTTGCTGAGCTCTCCAAAGGGCTCACCCCCTTTGTAAAGGATGGAAAGATGGAGAAGGAAGGAAGAGGCAGCTTTGGAAACTTCTCGCTGGCCTTGAATCCCAGCGAGGTCTCTGCCCCCACCGCCCCCCCCTCCCCCGAGGAAAAGGAAGTTGGAGCCTAGGCATCAGCCATGGGGTGGAGGGTACTGACGGATTCCAAAGGGTTTGCAGAAACTTCTGGAGGGCCTCTGGCCTCTGCACCCTACCCTACACATTGAGGGGTTAGAGGCTGGTGTCTCTCCATCACTCCAGGAATACCTGAGTCCTACATCTAAGGGAGCAAGGGCCCACCCGCGGCCATGACGCGGCAGAGGCAGTACTTGACCTCATTGAGCCCGGGAGGAGATGAAGGACCGTCTCTCCCGCTCCATCCCGAGCACTGGGCTCTGGGTTCAGCCTCTTCATGGAGGCATGGGATGGTGAATAAACACAGGCATCCACAGCGGGCCAACCACACGGCTCTCCCAGAACCAAGGGAAAGGGGCCTCAAGAAAGCTGATGACCACAGCCACATGGAGGACAAGAGGCATCAGGTGAAGAGAAACCTGGGAAAGTCTGGACACTCCCGACCAGGGCGACACCATGGAGTTCGCAGGGGTGGGGGTGGGGGTCTCAGCACCTGCATCTTTGCGACTTGCAGGAAAATGACAGTTTCCCCATAGTTTGGGCCGAACAACATTCAGGCTGGACAAACGCCTCTAATTCTCCACCCCCGGATGAGGAAACAAGCCCAGAAGCGCTTGAATGATGGGTCCAGGACCACAGTGTGTGTTGGTGGCGGGGCAGACAGGATGCCCGGGTCTTAGACTCCCCAGTCTGTCTGCTCATTCGATCGGCTTCCCCTGAACATCTCTCCCGCTGTCTTCTTGGGGATCAAAGCAGCTCCTGAGCACAGCTGGACGCTGACAGCAGGGCCAAATGCTCTCATACTCTGAGATTCTGCACAAAGCTTCACTGGACAACTCCCACTTTCCTTAGGTGAGTGCCGCGTGCGTTAAGTGTGTTTCAAGAAGGGGAGAAATCCTTTGTGCGGCTTTCTAAGATTAGACCCAGATGTCAAGATGGGGGGAGTGGGCTGAGGGGGCCGGGTGCAGCCCTGCCCGCGGGCAGAGGCGGGAGCCCACACATTCACCCTGCCTGGTAGAGAATTCTGTGCCCCCTGGGTTCGGTTCTCTCTCTTGCCTGGGGGTCACCAAGTCCTGTACTACCTCACCATCAGACAGTCGCATTACTGGCAGTGAGCTGGAACTGTTTCCTGACTGATGTCTTCAGTGGCCAGTCTTCAGAGCCTCCCCTGCAGTGGGAATCAGGGGAGCACACAATGACGGCACAGGTGATGCCACCTGATCAAAGTGACCAGGATCCAGGTGTCCCCCAAAATGGAAGGGAGCTGACTTTGTATGAGAAAGGAATCAGACGGTGTGTTGACTCACTGATGTGGGGGTGTCATTTGTTACCACATCAAAACCCCCTCCATGCCAACCCACACACACAGCTTCTCATCATGGTCTAAAAAACTTGGCATCTTAGCTCAGGTAGAGAAGGGAGCACCAAATAAAGGGTGTTGGGAAGATCCACCCAGGATGGGAGATGTGTGCTGAAAGTAGACTATAACTGAACATGATTGCCGCTCAATTCCTCTTTTGCAAACCACAGGACCCAAAAGGAGAGAGAGAACAAAAGGGAATGCCCTGCCACAGAGGCAGGGTGGATGGGGGGGATGGGGGGTGGGAGGGATGCTGGGACCCGTGGTGGTGGAGAATGGGCAGTGGTGGAGGGATGGGTACTCGATCATTGTATAACTGAAACCCAAGCACAAACATTTGTAAGTCTACAACTGTACCTCATGGAGTTTCACTAATAAAAATTAAAAAATAAAAAAATAAAAACTTGGCATCTTAAACGTAGAATGACTGCACCCATTTGTGTAATATAAAGTAACTTAATAGGTGACTAACATCTAAGGACAGTAGAGATAGGGGTCAGGAGGTTCGCTCCATGGTTTGGAAGCCAATCTCATGTGCTAGGGAAAAAGGCAGCTGGGATGGAGAAGGGACCGCCACGTACATGATGATTGAAGGACTCGCTCGGGATGGGAGATGCGTGCTGAAAGTAGACTATGGACCAAACGTGATGGCTGCTTAGTGCCTATATTGCAAACCATAACACCCAAAAGGAGAGAGAGAGAATAAGAGGGAATATATCTGACACAGAGGCAGGGGTTGGGAACAGGTGGGGGCGACAGGAGGGACACTGGGAACATTAGTGGTTGAGAACGGGCTCTGGTGGAGGGATGGGTACTCCACCACATTGTTTGACTGAAATGTAATCACAAAAGTTTGTAAACCTGTAACTGTATCTCACGGTGATTCTGTCACTGTCACTGTCCTCCCACTGTTCATCAATTTGCTCAAGCGGGTCCAGTAACGTCTCCATCATGAGCCTTTTTGTTACTGTGTTCGGCATATCGAATACATCACGGGGAGCTTGCCAGGCTTTGCCGTGCGGGCAAGATACTCTCGGTAGCTTGCCGGGCTCTCCGAGAGGGGCGGAGGAATCGAACTTGGGTCGACCATGTCGGCCGCGTGCAAGGCAAACGCCCTACTGCTGTGCTATCGCTCTAGCCCCACGGTGATTCATCAAAATAAAAATAAATAAATTAATTAATAAATAAAAACTTGGCATCTTAGAGCTTTAAGCATTTTTGTTTGTTTGGTTGGTTGGTTGGTTGGTTTAGGGGCCACATCTGGCAATGCTCTGGGGCTACTCCTGGCTCGATGCTCAGGGATCACTCCTGTTTAGCACACAGGGAACCATATGGGATGCCAGGGATCAAACCCAGGTTGGCTGTGTGCAAGACAAATGCCCTCCCCAGTGTGCTATCTCTCCGGTCCTTATGAGCTTTAAATTTCCTTAAGGTGCTGCTTTCAAACGACGTGCTTTGGACAGGGCTTTCCCCTCTGTGCTCCAGGCAGGGAGAGTGACCCCCGTCACCATTTTTACTATCCTCTGTACCTCCATAGCCAGTTCTGGGGTACGGTTGGGGGGCTTGATCATTGGCTCTGAGCACTGAGCACTGAGGCAACTCATGTTTCAGAGGGGTTGGATCGAGTTGGGTGTTTGTCCTGGCAAAGGGTCCCCTAAATTCTTGCAGAAGGGAACTCAGGGATGTCCAGGAGATGCCTGGAGACTTCATTTCCCCCCCTCCCAAACAATCTTTAGAAAGGTTCCCCTCCCAGGCTGCTGTGGTGCTGCTGGGGGGTGATGAGAAAGGTGCCCCCAGCTCTGTCTGGCTAGGAACCTGGGGGGGGGGCTGCCGTTATGGTTGACTAAATAAACATTTAAGCTGTGGTGGAATGGAGAAATGACCCCGGGGTTGTGCAGTGCACAAACTGAGCACCCGCACGGAGCAGACCTGGACCTTCCTCCTGCACGCCTGGGTACACGGACGACTCAGGAGGGATAAGCAGCGGGCCTCATCCTAAGACGCTAGGGAGCCCCCCACACCCAGCCCCTGTCTGGACACCGTGCTCTCTCCTCCCTGCCAAGAGTCCACCCTGTGCTGGGAACTGTCGTGGATGATGCTGTAGGAAACCGGGGCGCCCTCTTGCGGCGGGAGCTTCGGCTGAGCCCGCCAACGGGGAAGCAGCCCCCGGAAGGCTTCCCGGAAGCGCTGGGACATGAGGGCGTAGATGATGGGGTTGAGGGCGCTGTTCAGGTAGATGCAGAGCCGGCAGAAGAGCAGGAAGCCGCTGTGGAGGTAGGGCGGGTTCAGGAAGGAGTTCACCACCACCAGCGCGCGGTAGGGCAGCCACAGCACAGCGAAGAGGACCACCACCACCGCCAGCATCTTGGTGACCTGCGGGCAGCAGAGGGACAGTCCAATGCACATGTCCCCAGGCAGGGCACCCGGCTCCCTGCCAGCTCACAGGAGGAGTCAGCGAGAGCCCCGGGACTCCCGCCCGCAGTGCTCATGAGATGCCCTCCATGCTCACAGCTCGTCCCTCTAACTCCATCCCTAGCTGGAGAACAGCGGCTCTGGAGCTGCGCCTGGTGGATTTGCTGGGTATCGGGGCCTGCCCGCGGCCACCGCCAGCTAGAGGAGGCCAGTGAGTGCCCACCAGGCTTCTCTCCTCCTCTGTCACAATGATGTGAGAGCTGGGGCAGTCGTCTCTAGTAAGGAAGGCGGAAGCGTGCCCCAGAACCGTTCCCTGCCTGTTGCTATGGGAACCTCGGACACCACCAGCTTCCTCCCCACCCCAGGAGGGGTAGGGGTTTGATCTGGACAGTGCTCAGAGTCTGGTGGTCTAGAGCCTGGAGTGATAGTACAGCGGGGAGGGCGTTTGCCTTGCAGGCAGTGACCCGAGTTCCATCCCACCATCCCATATGGTTCCACGAGCAACTGTCAGGCAAAGCCAGGAGTAACCCTGGAGTATCTCCAGGTGTGGCCTCAAAACACTAACAAAAAAAAAATCTTGTGGTCTAGCCTCCAACCCCACACCCCTCACCACCCACATCCCCAGCCTCACACTCGTGCTGGCACATTTTCTCAGCTCCCTCCTGCCTGTCCCCCCTCCTGCCCCTCTTTTCCTCCTGTTTAACCTGCCCTCCCCCCACACACACACCTCTGTGGATTTGGACCAACAGACCCCTCAGAGCAAAGATGGAATAAGCCTCCTGGGGGGAGGGAGTTCAGAAACGGGGCATCATCTCTAAATTCCCAAATGAAAATGCCACTGGGGGGCTGCCCATGGCAAGAGCGTCCCTCACCCTGGGGAGGGCAGCCAGGCCGACCTTGCTCCATGGCAACTTCAGATGCTGCTGGTGGCATTGACCTGGGAGGGTCCCAGTTGCTCACACAGGCCTGGCACAGTCCAGTCTGCTGACCCCGAGACGGTCAGAGGGTGCCGAGCAGAGGAGATGAGCTTCCCATCCAAACATAACTGCTCTCCCGTTTAGGGCCCCTGGGCACTGGCCTTCAGGGCCATCTCCCCTCCAGGGAGGACTTAACAGAAAGGATTGTCCACTTTACTTCCCCCCAAGGAAGACTGAGGGTGAAGACCATCTGGACCTCCAGAACTACCCCCGCCCCTGGACTATCCTTGGATCCACCCTGGAGGAGGGGGGAAGACACAGGCTCAGACTCCTTCACCAGCTGTTCCCAAGTCACCTCCTCACCCCTGTCCCTTCTACCGCTTCCAAGCTCCCAAAACTCAAACAATTCTAGGGAAGATCACCAACCCAGGCACATAGTAAGTGCTCAATAAATGCTGGCTCTCTTTCTACCTGGCCTCCAGCCACCCCCTGCCCCAGGGTGGTGGTGGGGGAACATCCTGGCTCTCTGGGTCTAAAGAGGCAGCTTTGGGGTCAAGTGGGGAAGCTTTGGGGAGGCCGTGGGGAGGCCATGGGGTGTCACTTCCCTTTCTGGACCGTAGTTGTACCCATCAGTAAAAGAAGAGAATCATGGTCTCCTGGTGCCCACCAAGTAACAGTTGGTGGATGTGACCAGGCTGTGTTCTTCTCACCCACCATACAGAGACAGGAGCACAGCAAACTCACCCCCCGCCCACCTCAGCACTGGGTTCTTTTTCTGTACTGGGGGAACATGGGATAAAAAGAAAGAGAATCAAAATATGGTGCCACTACTCATTGCAGAAGCTTAAGAATGACCAACAGAAATGGAACAATTGTTGGTACACAGTGGGTTTAAGACTTTGCAAGGTAAATCTCTTTTCCTGGGTCCCACCAATGTGATATTATTACAGAAGGGGAAACTGAGGTTCGGGGATGTCTCCCCAAACTAGTCTGGTAAGTGGCACTAGGAATTGAGCCCAAGGGCGGCCAGCTTCCACCATACTCACTTGTTGGTTCAGCACTGGGGTACTGGGGTTCCCTTGAGGACTGGGTGCTTACCTGCCTCCGTGAGTTAAAGGTGCCTTTTGCACTCCTGGGGGAGAAGCGCGCTTGGCGGGCGGAGCCGCCCCGGTGCACTGAGCCGCAGCGTCCCGGGCCGCCCGGAGGCAGCGGCTCCACGCAGAGGACGCGCGCTATGAGCGCGTACAAGACAGTGGCGAGGCCCAGGGGCAGCGCATAGAAGAGCGCGAAGTCTAGAAAGTAGACGGGCAGGTAGAGCGAGCGCGACACGCGGTAGCCGCACTGCACCTGAACGCCGTCGGCGTAGACCGTCTCGCGCGTGTCCACCAGGAAGAGCCAGAGCACACAGTAGGCGCCGGTGCCCGTCCACAGCAGCGCCGAGATGCGCCTGGCGCGCGCCACCGTGCACAACGTCTGGGCGCGCAGCGGGCGGCAGATGGCCAGGTAGCGCTCCACGGTGAACGCGGTGATGGAGCCCGTGGACGCGTTGATGCCCACGTACTGCAGGTAGGTGATGCCCAGGCACCCGGCGTGGCCGAACACCCAGACCCGGGCAGACGCCGCCTCGGCAGCGGTGGGCACCCCCGCCGCCAGCAACACCAGCAGGTCTGCGGCGGCCAGACTCACCAGGTAACAGTTGGTGGATGTGACCATGTGGCGGCTTCGGATCACCACCAGGACCACCATGGCGTTGCCCACCACACCCACGGCGCACACGAGGGGCACCAGGATCAAGGTGGCCGCCTGGATCGCCACGGGAGGACGGGGCATGACGCCTAGAGCCGAAGCGTTGGCGCGCTCAGGGTGCTGGGACCGGTTCTCCATGGTCCCCTCTGCGCGCTGCGTCCCCAAAGCAGCGGCGTGGTGGTGGTGGGGTGGCTCGCAGCTGCAAAGGTGTCCCGGGGAGAATCTCGGTTGACGCTACCCTTGCGTCAGGGGGTCCCGCGGTGGTACCCAGGAAGGCGCTGCCTCGCAGAGCGGTGGAGACGCCTCCGGGACCCAGGAAACCGGCGCGTCAGCCCAGTTCCCGAGGACTTTGGGCTGAGTTGGTGCGGTCCTTCTCGGGCTCCTGCGGCCCGCAGGGCTGCGCTCCCTCACCGAACCTGGAGCCCAGAGCCGCCTCCAGCCCCGCCCGTTGGCCCCGCAGGGAAGTCGCGCAGCCACCCAAGCGCGGCGCGGCAGGCGCGTGGGGCCAACCCCTGTCTCGCCAGCGTTTCTCACGGCTCTGCTCTTGTCCGACCTCTCCGCCCGGACCTCCCGGCTGGTTCTGGTGGCTTCAGCGCAGCCACGGCTCCCGGTACCGCGTCCTGGTTCGGGTGCGGATTGGGGCGCAGTGGGGAAAAGGAGGTTCCCGGAAGCGCTTATGGACCCCGCGGGTGCGCCCTTCCCTTGGGCTGTCGCTCCCCCACCCCCGCTCCCTCCCTCCTCTCCTAAGCTCGGGGAGCCCCCGCCAGGCAACGGGGAGGGAGAGGCGACCTGCCTAGTGGAACTCAGCACGGAGGGAAGGGCATTTGAGCACCTTCGCTTGGGGTGATCCTGTCCCACTTGCCTTTGCATCTGGCTTACCAGGTTGCATCCCCATCTGGTCCTCGAACCCCGCCAGGAGGGATCCCCTGAGTGCAGAGCCAGGAGTGAGCCCTGAGCATCTCTGAGTGTTGCCAGCCCCCTAGCAAACAAAACCAAAACAAAGTCCTTCTCATCGCCCTGTGAGCTCATGCTCTCCTGAGGGAGATGTTGATGTTCTTGGATAGCACCCCTCTCCCCATCTTTCAGCACCCCAGTTAGCCAAGCTGACAGCCTTAGCTCTAGGACCTGCTGCTGAACGAAGTCAGTGGGGACTGGAGGAAAAGAAGAAAGCTTGACTTGGAGGCTTCCTGGAGGTGGAGCCTTGCAGAGCAGTAGGAAGGACTCAAAGGCTGTGTTCTGGGGAACCTGGCCTCCTGCCTGCTCGGAAGGGATTGTTTGCAGAGGATGGCTCCCTGATTACTCTCTAAACTGCATTCGCAAAGCTGTGAAATATAATAATCATATCAACAACAACAATAATAGAACTCCCTCAGAGGGGCTTGGTGGTTTTCATGAGTAGAGTGGGGAAAATTGAAACCCAGTGCTTCGCGCCTGTACGAGGGAATGCCAACGATTGCCATGTCTCTCCCCTCCCTCAAAAGTCCCGTGGATAGACCACATTAATGGGCTGGAGCTGAATGAGAGGGAACTTGTCAGGGATGTATTTTGGAGGCACCAGCCAGGATCCAGGACACTCCCCCCCACAAACACACACACACACACACACACACACACACACCACCACCAACAACAACAACAACAGCAACACCATTACCACAAAGGACAGGTCCCAAGGCAAGGGATGACTCTGGGTGTATGAAGTCCCACCCCTGATGCCTGCTGGGTATTTCTCATGGGTAAGTTCTGTATATAACCACAGATCCCGTGAGGGAGGTATCAGCCGATTTCCATTCTACAGACTCATGAGGCTCAGTTCATTGGAAAACACTGGCTCAAAGAAGCGTGGGTTATTGGGCTGGAGCAATAGTACAGTGGGGAGGGCATTTGCCTTGCACACGGCCCACCCGGATTCAAACCCTGGCATCCCATATGGTCCCCCGAGCACCGCCAGGAGTAATTCCTGAGTACAGAGCCAGGAGTAACCCCTGTGCATCACCGGGTGTGACCCCCCCAAAAAAATGAAAGAAAAAGAAAAAAAAGCAAGTGTGCGTTATTGAGCTGGGGGAGAGTTCCTAGGATTTGAACCCAGTGGCTTAGCTGGTGAGACCATGTCATAACATCGGGGGTCAGACTGGCAGCTGATCCCCAAGTTTATTCTTCCAGTCCCCACTGCACTCGACTGTCCCTTACTCAGCTCTTTCCAGGGGAGGAAATGCCAACTAAGCCCAGGATGCCTCCCTGTGTCCCGGGTGTGCGGCACCCCTGCGTGTTGTCCAGAACAATCCTTTTAGCCAGATTAATGCAATCAATGGTCTCTCTCCCTCTAAGCCTGCCAGTGCTGTCTTCTGCCCAGCCTCCAAGCCCACTTGTCAGCAGAAAGAAGAATATTTGGCAACAGAACTACGGCTGAAGTGGAACCTTGTTTTCCCACTGCTCTCTTGTCCACCTCTAATCTTTCTGTCTTCGAGAAGACATTTTAATAAAGGCACCAGCTGCGTGCATCCATCTCTAAAGCTGAATGTTCAGGAATCTTTGCTTCCCCTCCTCCCTCACCACTGATAACCAACATTTAAGCAAGGTCCTCAAGTCTGTCTTGAAAACATACCACCAAATAGACCACTTTTTACCCCCTATTCTCTACTAACATTTTTGTCCATTTTTAAAAAGTTTTGAGGCCACACCTGGTGATGCTCAGGGGTTACTCCTGCCTCTGCACTTAGGAATCACTCCTGGTGGTGCTCAGAGGGACCATATGGCATGCTGGGGATCGAACCCAGGTTGGCCACATGCAAGGCACCCACTTACAAATTTTTGTGCTTGGGTTTCAGTTATACTAACACCCAAGAATAGCTAAGATAAGTACAGGGGGGTTCATTCCATGACTTGGAGGCCAGCCGCACATGCTAGGGAAAAAGGCAGCTCAGATAGAGAAGGCAGCACCAAATAAAGGTGTTGGGAGGAACCTCCAAGGATGGGAGATGCATGCTGAAAGTAGACTATAGACCGAACATGACTGCCACTCAATGCAAACCACAGCACCCAAAAGGAGAGAGAGAACAAAAGGGAATGCCCTGCCACAGAGGCAGGGTGGGATGGGAGGGCACGGGGGGGGGGGAGGAGGGAGGGATACTGGAAGATGGGGGGTCTGGTTGGAGAAGGCCCAGTCCCAATCTGAGTAGGCTTGGAGACCTCAGCCCTGGGACCCGCATGCCTGGGTTCCTCTGCCAGTTCTTTCATTCATGAGGCCCGTCTGGACGTGTGGAGAGTGGTCCCAGCATGGCCGTGGCTGGCTCCGGAGGTCCTCAGCTGCTGGGGCTCTGCTCGGGGTCGGGGGGGGGGGGAGAGAAACTCAACCCTCCCCTCTCCAAGGGGCCCCGGTGAGGACAGCCAGGCGCGGGGGCAGGAGACACTATTCTCTACCTTCCTTATATATGAGGACTTCAATAAATATTTATTTCATTTTTTAATTATTTTTTTTTACCTCCCAAGACTCAGGGGGAATTGGGGCCACTCCTGCCATTCCTTGGTCATCTGAACTGGGTGGTTTAATCCTCAGGCCCAGTGATACAATGATGCCAGGGCCCAGTAATACCCAGGGGCTTCCAGGGTCACTTCTGTGCTGCTCAGAGGGCCACATCATGCCAGGAATTAAATTCAAAGGTCCTGTACAGGCAAGGCATGTGGTTCTTTAATTTATCTCCCCAGCCCTTCATTAACTATTTATCAAGAGAACCTATCAAAAGAGTCCGGAAGTGGATGCTTGCCACAAATATGGCGGTGGGAGGTGCAGAGGCAGTTAGGATAGAGAAGGGGCCACTATGACAATGATAGTTGGAAATGATCACTCTGGACAAGAGCTGAGTGCTGAAAGTACGTAAAGGAATATGTAGGATAACTTTTCAGTATCTATACTTCAAGCCATAGCGCCCAAAAGGAAAGAGAGAGAGAAAGAGAGAGAGAGAAGAAAATTCAGGCAGTGGGTGGTGGTGTGTGGTGTGTGGGTGATGGGAGGGAAATTGGGGACATTGGTGGTGGGAAATGTACACTAATGAAAAAGGACGGATGTTGGAACATTGTATGACTAAAACCCACCATAAACAGCTTTGTAATTGTGTATCTCCTGGTGATTCAATTAAAAATGAATTAACAAAAGTTTTTTTTAAAGAGTCAGTCTAAGAGTGAAACTAGCAGGAGGTAGCATTATAGCTAGATTTGATACAAAAGCAAAGTAAAGATTGGGAGGGTTCCATAAAGAAATAAGACAGGTAAAAATTAATTCAACTTCAGTGATTGGAATTAAAATATGTTTTTTAGATTTACAAAGAAAATCGGGCCTAGAATTTCAGTATTAATCTAAAGCCCAGAAGAATAAGACTCTGGGAGGAACCAGAGGCGCTGTCCACGAGAGTCTGGTGCTGAATCCAGGACTGGAATCGAATCGAGTGGCGTCATCTTGTGTCTTTCATGTTTAAAGGATCAAGTCACATACTCTAACTACTCAAAACTCAGTGCACTGTCCCGTCTCTGTTGGAGTAGCTTATTCTTTGCTGCTTTATATAATCACCGAATTGACTCATTTATTTCACAAGCCTAAAGTCTTCTGCTGGAGCGATAGCACAGCAATAGGGCGTTTGCCTTGCACACAGCCAACATGGCCAACCCGAGTTCGATTCCTCCACCCCTTTCGGAGAGCCCGGCAAGCTACCGAGAGTATCTCCCCCGCACGGCAGAGCCTGGCAAGCTACCCATGATGTATTCGATATGCCAAACACAGTAACAACAAAGTCTCCAATGGAGACGTTACTGGGCCCTCTCGAGCAAATCGATAAACAACAGGAGGACAGTGACAGATTACAGTGAAAGTCCTCTGAGCATCAGTCCTGGTGCTGTTCCAATTTGGTCTACTTGGAAAGGAAAAAATGCTCCTTTGTGGACATCTAGAAATGAATTATAAGGAATCTGAATCTACTGGGATCTGATAGATTTCAGATATGAAGGGAAATAAAAAAAAATGTCCACCACTGTTTGACATTGATTGTTGGTTTTACTTCTGGATTTTAACTTTTAGCAAGAGGATGACAGTAATCACACCCCAGGAAAAGTGTCATGATACCCCCTTCTGAGAAGCACTTCACTTCAGC